CAGGGGGGTTGGACTAGATAGCCCATGTGGTCTCTTCCAACTCTATTATTCTATGATTCTATGACTTACAAATGACTCATAGTTAAGGTCCAACAGACATCACTACCTCTGAGGCTGCTTGCCATAGATGCAGGCGAAATGTCAGGAGAGAATGCCTCTAGACATGGCCATATAGCCTGAAAAAACCTACAACAACCCAGTGATTCCGGCCATGAAAGCCTTTGACAATAGATGATGGATAGTTTTCTGTCAGGGATGCTTTGATTGTGCTTTTCCTGTATGGCAGGGGGGTTGGACTAGATAGCCCATGTGGTCTCTTCCAACTCTATTATTCTCTGATTCTGTGAGTTACAAATGACTCATAGTTAAGAACGGGAGTAAGACAACAGGAAGTGAGAGAAATCTAAACCTAGGAAGGGAAATTTACTCTTGGAAGTTATCTCCACTGGTATCTCAACTCAAGCTTGAATTACCATGTAATGAAAGGATGCGTGTCTAAAAAATGTGTCACCAAAATGAAAAGTTTGGAGAGTTCTGGTCTACACTTTAGTTCTCAGGAAAGTAAGTTATAAATTACTGTGCAATCTGACACAACGTATAACAGATCTACCTGTTTTTTGCAAATGGGTTGGAAGATTTCAAAAGTCTGATGAGAATAGTTGATTTTTTCCCTACTTATACAACTTAGCTATTAAATTAGATGCCGTGTTTCATTCACAGAATTGAATAGACACTTGCATGCCAATGAGTTGTGTCATGGCATGTCTGCTGCCTTCCAGCATCCTGGGGTCTCTTTTGGCCAAAGACCAAAGAATGGTGCTTTGGGAAGGAGAACATGGGCAAATGGCAGGGGACGTCCTTCAGACTGATATTTAATACTGCAGCCGAGCAAGCAGCTGCTCCGGAGAGCCAAGATATGAAAGAGCTTTCCCGAGCAACTACAGGGACATGGATCCAGCGAACTAGCAGCATTTCCCAGAATATTAGTGAGCTTGGTAATGAAACATTATAGTGAAAACATGTAACTTCACTGTAATCAACTAAACCAATTGCTTCTGTTTTACACTGTGTCAAATGTAATTTTTTAAAATTTACTTTTTCACTTTTTAATATATGTCCTCGCCTATATGTATGGATAAATAATAATAATAATAATAATAATAATAATAATAATAATTATTATTATTATTATTATAATAATAATAATTATTATTATTATTATTATTTATCCCCCCCCCCCGCTTTCAGCTTGAGGTGGGGCACAACATAGTTTCTCTCTCTCTCTTTTTATATATATACTAGCCGTTTATATATATACACGCGTTGCTGCGGCCCACTCTGGTAGTCATGGGGGTTCTGTGTGGGAGGTTTGGCCCAATTCTATCATTGGTGGGGTTCAGAATGCTCTGTGATTGTAGGTGAACTATAAATCCCAGCAACTACAACTGCCAAATGTCAAGATTCTATTTTCCCCAAACTCCACCAGTGTTCACATTTGGGCATATTGAGTATTCGTGTAGAGTTTGGTCCAGATCCGTCCTTGTTTGAGTCCACAGTGATCTCTGGATGTAGGTGAACTATAGCTCCAAAATCAAAGAACACTGCCCATCAAACCCTTCCAGTATTTTCAGTTGGTCATGGGAGAACTGTGTGCCAAGTTTGGTTCAATTCCATTGTTGGTGGGGTTCAGAATGCTCTTGAACTATAAATCTCAGCAACTACAACTCCCAAATGACAAAATCATTTTTTTGAGTGAACATAAATTGGGTTGTTAGGTGTATCGTGTCCAAATTTGGTGTCAATTCGCCCAGTGGTTTTTGAGTTCTGTGAATATCACAAATTAACATTACACTTTTATTTTTGTATTGTCGAAGGCTTTCATGGCCGGAATCCATGGGTTGTTGTAGGTTTTTCCGGGCTATATGGCCATGTTCTGGAGGCAATTTTTCTCCTGACGTTTTGCCTGCATCTATGGCAAGCATCCTCAGAGGTAATGAGGTCTGTTGGAACTAGGAAAAATGGGTTTATATATCTGTGGAATGACCAGGGTGAGACAAAGGACTTTTGTTTGCTGGGGCTAGCTGTGAATGTTTCAGCTGATCACCTTGATTTGCATTCAATGGCTTGGAAGCGCCTGGGGGGAATCTTTTGTTGAGAGTGATTTCATGTGCCTGTTTGTTTCCCCTCTGTTGTTTTGCTGCTGTAATTTTTGAGTTTTTTAATACTGGTAGCCAAATTTTGTACAACAACCCATATATATGCACATTTTAAAACTTAGTTAAAATGCAACTATAAAAGCATGTATGAAAATACATTAGACAAAAATTAGAACTCAATAAACATACAGTATAATGTAGTTTTAAAATTCATAGTTAAAACTGACTGGGTTTGCCTGCTGGAAGAGATAAGTCTTCAGTTGTGTTTTAAAGTTATTTATTTATTTATTTACATTTATATGCCGCCCTTCTCACCCCGAAGGGGACTCAGAGCAACTTACAAGATACATATATATACAATATATTATATTATTAGCATAGTACAATATAAGTATTATATATTACTATATTGTATTATACCATTATATTGTAATATTATTAGTTATATTACATGTAATATAAATATATATAATTATAATATTGCATTATTAGTAGTAGTATTATATTGCATTACATTATAGTAGTTAAATATAAAAGTTAAATCCATGTAACAAGTGAAACATGCCATCTTTAGTTAAAGCTCACAATGTGCCAGTGGGAAAATTAGGTTTTCTTATGGGATCATTTTAGAAGCAAGCCATATATTATCTGCTACTAGATGGCATGAACTAATACAGTCTAGGGAATCAACAAGTATTAGTATTTGTTCTATGAGGAAAGCAAAAGAGAAGAAAAGTTGGGAGAGCTGATGCAGTGCATGAGAGTTACATATGAAGGTGTGAGAAAGCCAAATAAGGCTTATCTCAAAATTAGGAGATAAGAGGGCAATAAATAGCTAGACGGTCACATGAAAAGCCTTATTGGATTGAGAGAAAGTCAGGATATAAATGACACACATAAAGTTGGGAGGAGGCTCATAAAAGCAGAAAAGGAAACAGTCATTAAAGAAAACCAGAAAACAAACACTGCCTATTCCAAAGCAAAAGATATAAAATGCAGTCATCGCTAATAGTCAACATGGATTTATCAAAAACAAGTCATGCCAGACTAATCTGATCTCTTTCTTCAATAGAGCTACAAGCTGGGTAGATGCGGGGAATGCCGTGGATGTAGCGTACCTGGATTTCAGTAAGGCCTTCGACAAGGTCCCCCATGACCTTCTGGCAAGGAAACTAGTCCAATGTGGGCTAGGCAAAACTACGGTGGGGTGGATCTGTAATTGGTTAAGTGGACGAACACAGAGAGTGCTCACTAATGCTTCCTCTTCATCTTGGAAAGAAGTGACAAGTGGAGTGCCGCAGGGTTCCGTCCTGGGCCCGGTCCTGTTCAACATCTTTATTAATGACTTATATGAAGGGCTAGAAGGCATGATCATCAAGTTTGCAGACGACACCAAATTGGGAGGGATAGCCAATACTCCAGAGGACAGGAGCAGATTCAAAACGATCTTGACAGATTAGAGAGATGGGCCAAACTAACAAAATGAAGTTCAACAGGGACAAATGCAAGATACTCCACTTAGGCAGAAAAAACGAAATGCAAAGATACAGAACGGGGGACAATGCCTGGCTCGAGAGCAGTACGTGTGAAAAAGATCTTGGAGTCCTCGTGGACAACAAGTTAAACATGAGCCAACAATGTGATGTGGCGGCAAAAAAAGCCAATGGGATTTTGGCCTGCTTCAATAGGAGCATAGTGTCTAGATCTAGGGAAGTAATGCTATCCCTCTATTCTGCTTTGGTTAGACCACACCTGGAATATTGTGTCCAATTCTGGGCACCACAATTCAAGAGAGATATTGACAAGCTGGAATGTGTCCAGAGGAGGGCGACTAAAATGATAAAGGGTCTGGAGAACAAGCCCTATGAGGAGCGGCTTAGGGAACTGGGCATGTTTTGCCTGAAGAAGAGAAGGCTGAGAGGAGATATGATAGCCATGTATAAATATGTGAGAGGAAGCCACAGGGAGGAGGGAGCAAGCTTGTTTTCTGCTTCCTTGGAGACTAGGACGCGGAACAATGGCTTCAAACTACAAGAGAGGAGATTCCATCTGAACATGAGGAAGAACATCCTGACTGTGAGAGCCGTTCAGCAGTGGAACTCTCTGCCCCGGAGTGTGGTGGAGGCTCCTTCTTTGGAAGCTTTTAAACAGAGGCTGGATGGCCATCTGTCAGGGGTGATTTGAATGCAATATTCCTGCTTCTTGGCAGGGGGTTGGACTGGATGGCCCAAGAGGTCTCTTCCAACTCTTTGGTTCTATGATTCTATGACCTTTGCAACCCGAAAGACAGTTGCATCTGTCAAGTAGGAAAATTAGGTACCACCTTAAAGTGTGGGGAGGCTAAATTAAATAATTTATGAGGACATAAAAAAGACTCCAGCAAAGCACTCCAGCAAAAAAGCATGTGGGGAATGCGGAAGTACTTCATCAGTGTCACAGATGGACGATTAAAGCAACAGCTCCCCTGGTGGCCAGAACAAGTTAAATAGCCTCTGTGTATGTCTGTATATGTTGTATGTCAAAATTGGCATTGAATGTTTGCCATATATGTGTACACTGTAATCCGCCCCGAGTTCCCTGCGGGGTGAGAAGGGCGGAATATAAATGCTGTAAATAAATAAATAAATAAAACCTGAAATTAGAAAAACAGATCTCTGAACATTTTTTTAAATGATTCCTTCCCAATATTAGTCTTTGAAACTCTGCCATGCGTGATGAATATTTGGGACATTCAAAATTAATTGAGCAACTCTTTGGACCTTCCTCTCTGTTTAATAGGTTTCTGAATACGAAAGTAACATTAAAATGCATCAAAGGCTAGGAAATTAGATTTTGTTAGATTACCTGAAATGTTCCCTCTTCGGAAGGCGGCAATGATTCCCACTCTGGGGAATCCAGAAACTGATATGGGTAGACATAATGTAGAAATTGTCCATCCTGGCTCACTTTAACCCTGCAGAGGAGTAGAAAAAGACAAACCATACAAAAGGTTTCATCTTCTTTGTTTGATTCTAACTTTATGCTCTGTTTTATAATTCAATTTTCAGGATAATTCACTTCAGATAAGGGCCTTTCCCACTCATGATAAGACTGCAACCCTCCAACTGCCTATCCAAGAAAAGGACTTGAATGAGCAAGTTCCCTGTGGAATCAAATGGCCCTTTCAACACATAGCAGTGTTGTTAATTCTGATGCAGCCATGTGAAATTTTATTCTCAGATGCAATACAGAAGTTTTAGATAGGAATATCTAGAACGCTGGTTCCCAATGTGGGGCACACACATGAGGGCAATTTGAGAATTACCGTATATACTCGAGTATAAGCCGACCCGACTATAAGCCGAGGCATCTAATTTTACGACAAAAAAACTGGGAAAACATATTGACTCAAGTATAAGCCGAGGGTGGGAAATGCAGCCACTACTGGTAAACTTCAAAATAAAAATAGATACCAATAAAATTACATTAATTGAGGTATCAGGAGATGAAATGTTTTTGCATATTTACATAAAACTGTAGATAAGACTGCCCAACTCTGATTAAATAATTATTCTAACCTCCTTCAATGTAAATATACTTGCATATCCTTCCAACAATAATAAAGAGAGTAAAATAATAAACATAATAATAATAATAAAGTAAAAAAATGGAAATGCAATAATAACAGTAATAATAGAGTAAAATAATAAATGCAATACTAATAAAGTAAAATAATAAATGTAATAATAATCATAAATAGTGAAAATAATAATAATAATAATAATAATAATAATAGGGTAACATACTGTAAATGTAATAATAGTAGAGTAAAATAATACATGAAATAAAAATAATACTAATAACAGAGTAAAATAATAAATAACCTTGACTCGAGTATAAACCGAGGGGAGCTTTTTCAGCCTAAAAAAGGGGCTGAAAAACTAGTATATACAGTAGTTATTAATAGTAAATGTATATACAGTATATACAGTAGTTATTAATAGTAAATGTTGTATGGTATATGAGGCCCCTAGAACCACCATTTCTGATGGTTCTAGGGGCCTCATATACCATATACAAATATACCGTATATTCCGGCATATAAGATGACTGGGCGTATAAGACGACCCCCAACTTTTCAAGTTAAAATATCGAGTTTGGGATATATTCTCCGTATAAGACTACCCCTCTTCCAACGCACACCAAATAAAAATTTAAAAGTATCAGATCTGATTTCAATATGGTAATTTTGCTATTACTGTACCTCCTTCTCTGCCTCTCAGACCTTGCACATGCGCACCTGCACCACTTCACTGCAGTCGTCAGGAGCGAGATTTGAGAGGCAGAGGAGGAAGTCAGACAGGTAAAAGAGGTGTGTTTGTCTGGGCCCAGAGCCATCTCTTTTTTTCCATATACCATGCCTGCAGCTTGCTCCGCCCTTCACTTACGCCTTCCTGGTGAGGCGCCCCTTCACTTCACCATCGGGACCGTATTAAGTCCACGAATCCTGATGAATGGATTTTCTTCTACTGTACTTGTGCAGCGTCGCCCTTAATGCTTTCATACAGTCGCTGCATATGGCAGGGACGTGGCCACTGCCATTTTTGAGCTCCCCCCACCATATGCGGCAACCACAGATTCTCCAATCCGATTGGAAGTTTCAGCACCCGCTTTATAATACTACCCCCACGTATAAGACTACTCCCGCGTATAAGACTACTCCCGCATATAAGACTACCACCACGTATAGGACGACCCCGCGTATAAGACGACTCCTGACTTTTAAGAAGATTTTCTTGGGTTAAAAAGTAGTCTTATACGCCAGAATATATGCTATATTGTGACAAACAAATTTAAAAATTAAAATCAGAATGTACAGCGCAGTTAGCTGATGACAATGGAGAGGGGAAAGCCCGCTCATAGAGAGGAAGGAGAGGTGAGAGCATAGAGTTTAAAAGAGCCAGAAAAGGGAGGCCACTTTCATGCCAAACACCCCACTGCTCTCCCATACAAAATATATACAAATGTACAGTATATACTCAAGCATAAGCCGACCAGAAAATAAGCCGTGGCACCTAATTTTACCACAAAAAACTGGGAAAACTTATTGGCTCGAGGGTGGGAAATATAGCATACCAATAAATAGATACCAATAAAATTACATTAATTGAGGCATCAGTAGGTTAAATGTTTTTGAATATTTTCATAACATTGTAATTTAAGATAAGACTGTCCAACCCTAATTAAATCGTTATTCTAACCTTTTTTCAATGCACAGTAAATGTGCTTACATATTCTTCCAATAATCACCATAGTTTATTTTAACTATACATTTGAGGGGAATTGCTGTGTGTATATGAATAAGGTGGGGAAGACTGGTGCCGAGAGAGGAAGGTACACACTGCGCGTGAGAGGGGAAAAGGAAGGCAATCTGGGTTGCTATTTGGAGAGGTGATGGTCCTGGCAGGAAGGGATCAGGCTGAAAGAAGCCCTTCTTTCGGCCCCATGCCAGGACCCTCACCTGAGTATAAGTCGAGGGGGGCTTTTTCAGCCTAAAAAAGGGCTGAAAAACTATTTCTGTTCTGAATTTGATTGTAGCAAGAAATCTGTGGGAAAAAATCCAAATCACAATTATTAGTTTCATAGGTAAGTCAACATTTTTGTATGAAAATATATATACATATAAAGATTATCAGCTGCAAGAAAATTAACATCAGGTCACAGAATATTCTCATATGTTTTCACCAAATACACACAATGAAGTTGGACACGTAAGTTACTCCGAATTCGATGCAGACTACTCAAATGAATTGTGCCTTGAAGATTGCTGCTGCCCACATGATAGTTTAACTTTATAAAGCACAAAATGTTTTCATTAGTAGGTTCGAGCATAGAAATTTCACATTTTACATCCCATGAATTTTTCCTTGTGTTATTTTTTTAGGGAAACAACCTTTTGAATAAATAATGAACCTAGAAAGAACATGCACCAATACATTATTAACCATCAAAAATTGGCATTGACCGTAATGTCAGGAAAACCACAGGCTTCACTGTTTGTGTTTCTTTATCACAAAAGAATACCTAATGTGCCATCAACTTGCTAACCAAAAATATACAAAAAACCTGGGCACAAATGTTTGACTGAAGTTGGAGAATGGTAAAATAAACCATCCTGAAATTGCAATCAAAGTTTATTTACTACTTATCATTTGAATTTAGAGTTCTATAGCAGTTATGATTATATTTGCCTCACATACATCATGGGACCCACAAGAAAGTGTCATACATTCCCTCGTTGATAAATCGCTAATTTCCCAAAACATCTTAATATTATTAAAATGTTTAATTTTTTTACAATTTCTTAATGATTTCTTCCTCAGTACTTCAATTGTCCTTTTGTTCAATGTATTGTCGAAGGCTTTCATGGCCGGAATCACTGGGTTGTTGTAGGATTTTCCGGGCTGTATGGCCATGTTCTGGAAGCATTTTCTCCTGACATTTCATCTGCATCTATGGCAAGCATCCTCAGAGGTAGTGAGGTCTGTTGGAAGTAGGAAAATAGGTTTATATATCTGTGGAATGACCAGGGTGGGACAAATGACTTTTGTCTGCTGGAGCTAGGTGTGAATGTTTCAAATGACCACCCATTAAATGCTAATCAAGGTGGTCATTTGAAACATTCACACCTAGCTCCAGCAGACATAAGTCCTTTGTCCCACCCTGGTCATTCCACAGATATATAAATCCATTTTCCTACTTCCAACAGACCTCACTACCTCTGAGGATGCTTGCCATAGATGCATGTGAAACGTCAGGAGAAAATGCCTCCAGAACATGGCCATACAGCCCGGAAAAACCTACAACAACCCACTGTCCTTTTGTTCTTTTATTTTTCTCTTTCATTGATGCCATGTTCTTTGGAAGCTTCTTTAGACCAAGTTAATGGCCTTTTAGGCTTCCTCCGTGCGAATAGGAGTTTACTTTTTAAATAATAAGAATTATATGTCACCAGTTGTGAGGGTGTCAGGATTTTAGGCATGCTTAGGTGAGGCAGGGCCAAAAAAAGTTGGGAACCACTGATCTGGAGCAAAGAGGTGACTTTTTTAAAGATTCAGGAGCAGTAGCTATTCCAAATAATTCCACATTGTTTAAGTGGCATGCAGATAGACAACAGCAGTCACGCAAGTGGGCAAGCAGAAAGCTTAGGTGCCTGTAGAGAAGGATAAAAACAAACAAAAAGCTATTACTCTCTGTATGGGAACTACTGGTGAGTTGCCTGGTTCATGTAACAAGTAAGCATACCAAACAAGAGTGCCAGCTGTTCTAAATGTGACTGCTGAAAGGCAATCGTGGCACGAGTTCTATTCCCCAACCACGAGCTCCTTGGAGTGGCAGGCTCTGTTCCTTTTCCAACCTTCACCCTATTCAGGAGCACACGTTCATGGGAGGGGGCCAGCTGTCCCCTAGTCTGCTGGAAGCATTGAATGAAAGAGAGGACTCTTTTGCTTCCTTCTTATCTGCAGACGTCAGTCTGTTTCCTTCATCTGAAAAGAGCCTCCATGGGACTCCGAACTCAATCAATGATACCAGCTTACCCTCACACGGGAAAGTCGGCTTTTAGGTGCTCTTCTATCCCATTGTTGGCACCGGGATTGTGGTGCAGCTGGCTGAGTGTCAGCTGCATTAAGATCACTCTGACCAAAGGTTTCCAACCAATTGTGTAGCCTGTTGTTGACCTTTGCAACCTGAAAGACAGTTGCATCTGTCAAGTAGGAAAATTAGGTACTACCTTAAAGTGTGGGGAGGCTAAATTAACTAATTTATGAGGCCATAAAAAAGACTCCAGCAAAGCACTCCAGCAAAAAGCATGCAGGGAATGCGGAAGTACTTCATCAGTGTCGCAGATGGACGATGAAAGCGACAGCTCCCCTGGCGGCCAGAAAAAGTTAAATAGCCTCTGTGTATGTCTGTATATGTTGTATGTCAAAATTGGCATTGAATGTTTGCCATATATGTGTACACTATAATTCGCCTTGAGTCCCATGCGGAGTGAGAAGGGCGGAATATAAATGCTGCAAATAAATAACAAATAAATAACCTCTTTCGCCTAGAATCTTTCCTATCTTAAGACGAGCTTCTTGAGACAATAAATATAACTTGTTTAAAAAATATCTCATGAGAGCAGAGTAGTTTCTCTTGTTTCTGTCACAAGCTTATATTGTACTAGCTCTGCTCTTCTCCACTGACACAGTAATGCAGTTTGGAACCAATATGAGAGGAACTGGTTTCACTGTGAACACAGAACCAGGCCTCAAACCACTTAGCAGGGTTTTCTGGGAGAGATGCACATCATTGCACCTTTTTTCGTGTCAGGTGTGACTCAGTGCACCAGAGGCATAGGAGAGTAAAGAAAATCAAGGAAAAGTGACAGTGAGCAATGGAGCATTCAATTATTCCTCGCAGGGGATCCATTGAACATCCACTTTTTTGGTTTACATCAGGGGTCCCCAAATGAAGGCTTGCAGATCTGATGTGGCCCTCCAAGGTCATTTACTCGCCATCCTCCCTAAACTTGAGATTTAGGGTCACCTTATATCTGAAACGGCTTGAAGGCACACATCAAAAGGATTGACCAGGCATGTAGCCGGGGGGGGGGGCCTCGGGGGGCTTCAGCCCCCCCCCCGAAATTCTCATGGTGGTTCGCGAAAAGGCCTTACTGGTGCATTATTTAAACTGTTATGTTTATTCATATCATGATCTGATCACCATACTCAATATATCCCATATGCATGGGAGTATTGGGGTAATGATACAAAAGGTTTGCTAGGCTAGACCCTCTTTCACTCAGACTCAGCCCCCCCCCCCCCCCCCCGCCCCCCCCCCCCCCCCCCCCCCGAAATGAAATCCTGGCTACAGGCCTGGGCTTGACTATCCCATCAGCCAAAAAGCAGGCTCACATTTCCCATTGAAATACTAGTAAGTTTATGTTGGTTAAAATTGTTCTTCATTTTAAATATTGTATTGTTCTTCCATCTTTTTTGCACTACAAATAAGATATGTGCATTGTGCATAGGAATTTGTTATTTTCTTTTTTTCTCAAACTACTGTCCAACCCTCCAGCAGCCTGAAGTACCATAAACTGGCCCTCAGCTTTAAAAGTTAAGAGGACTTTATATACTGGGAGAAATGTTAACAAAAGATCCAGTCCTACTGCTTTATAGAAATCATAGACAAACATCCAAACATCCAAAAAAAGAGCCTAAAAATTATCTAAACCAATTTTGTCCTTTTGGGAGAAGATTGCTGTTACATATTCACTTAAAACCATTGTTTTTCTTCCAGATAATTCCCTTTGAGACCAGAATTCAAATGCTAAAAAATGAAAGCAAAATGAAAATAGCTCAAAGCAGATTATGGCAAAATAATTACACACACTGCTTTGAACAGAGCACCTACTATTTCAGATTTCGGAAAGTATTATACACAATCTCAAATTTGCACAGTACAATTAAGGGATATGAAAATATTCATTGGATAAAATAAGTTGGATAGTAGAATGAAGCAAAACTATTTCAAACAATTATAACAAACAGTTAAATGACATTTCTAGCTGGAATGTTGAAAACTTGCTCACCTCTTGTTAAATATCTACCCATTCCCTTCTCCCATATGCCCTTTTTGTTGCACCTGTAGTCTAAAGCAGATGACAAATCTGTCTAATACAAAATATGGAAACAGAAGAGATTATACAGGATAAAGGATCTATTTTACTGTAGCAAAGCTTTTACAGCTGAGCAATTGATGGCTGAACCTGAGAGCATTAATTATTCATATGCTTTTTTAAAAGTCATATCTTAAGCGACTTAAGAAACTGCAAGTTGCTTCTGGTGTGATAGAATTGGCCATCTGCAGAGACGTTGCCCAGTGGACACCCAGATGTGTTACCATACTGTGGGAGGCTTCTCTCACATCCTCGCATAAGAAGCTGGAGCTAACAGACCCTTGCTCACCCCGTCTTGCAGATTCAAACTGCCAATCTTTAGGTCAGCAGTTCAGCCAGCACAAGGGTTTAACCTATTACGCCACCGGGACTCCTCATATGCTGATTTGCCAAGAGTCTCTTCAATACGTAAGGAATGCTACAATTTGTACAATTCCATGACTAAGGTTTCAAACTTGCAGAGATTAAATATAGACATTTAACTGGAATTAAAGAAGCTTGGGTGTTAGAATTCTCTATCAGGGCATAAAAAAATTACTGGAGTAAAATCTGATCCTCTACAGCACCAAAATCTGTTTCAGCAAAAGAATGTATTTTCAAAACTGTATCCTGAAAAAAAATCATGAATTTATTTTAAAAGTCTCACAATTCAGCAAAAAGAGAATCCTTAAGCCTTCTCCTGCTTGATTTTTTCCCCATTCTATGGGAGTTTCATGCAAATGTTTTCAATTTAAGACAATTGAAGACAGAGGGCTTACATTTTGCTGTGCACCTGTGTGGGGTATACTACTTTAAAATGGAAGTACAACTTATGCATTTGAATATTTTATCATACCAGGGACATAGAGACAAAAACAGTGAAAAAATTGTCAGTAGAGAGAAAGAAAAGTCCAAAAGTGTTTCTTTCACAAACTTTTCTCATTAATGGCATACTCAATCATGCCTAGCTCCTTTGCAAATTAAAGCAAAACAATGGAGACACTGGTTTTACTATCTGAGAGAAAACTCAGCTAGGAAGGCCAGAATTCCTTTTTTCGGTGTAGTGCTGAAAATTTATTTTATTTGCTATACTTGTATACCGCTGTTTCTCAGCCTAGCCGGCGACTCAACGCGGTTTACAACAAAATACAACAATCAACAGTATACAGTTTAAAACAATAAAAGCATTATACACAATATTCGCATATCAATAACAATCCAATCCAATGCATCTCCTAACTAAAATCGTGATCCAGTTTCGTCGTCCATATTACCAGTCCTTAATCATTACATTCATTGCACCGAATTAACCAAATGCCTGTTGGAACATCCAGGTTTTTAATCTCCTTCGGAACACCATCAGCGAGGGGGCTGATCTTACCTCCATGGGAAGGGCGTTCCATAGCCGAGGGGCCACCACAGAAAAGGCCCTGTCTCTCGTCCCCGCCAGCCGCACCTGTGAAGCAGGCGGGATAGAGAGCAGGGCCTCCCCAGAAGATCTTAGGGACCTGGTGGGCTGATAGGCCGAGATACGTTCGGATAGGTAAGTTGGGCCAGAACCGTTTAGGGCTTTAAAGGCCAACGCCAGCACTTTGAATTGAGCCCGGTAGCAGATCGGTAGCCAATGGAGCTGGTGCAGCAGAGGAGTGGTATGCTCCCTGCGCTCCGCTCCAGTTAGTATCATGGCTGCCGAACGCTGGACTAATTGGAGCTTCCGGGCCGTCTTCAAAGGCAACCCCACGTAGAGAGCGTTGCAGTAGTCTAAACGGGATGTAACCAGAGCATGGACTACCGTGGCCAAGTCAGACTTCCCAAGGAAGGATATTATGTAGTTTCTGTGTTGTTGTTGTTATTTATTCATTCAGCCGTGACCTCATGGACCAGCCCATACCAGACCTCCCTGTCGGCCGGCCGTGGCCACCCAGCTATGACTTTATCCATTTATTAAAACCACCAGAGTATTAACAAAAACCCTGTGGGGAGAGGTCAAAGGTTGAATCCTACCTGCCCGAAAGCAAGAATGATAGGCGATCGATTGCTGTCTTGCCCTCCACAGCATAGGTCTGGTCTTTGGCCAAAGGCAGGACCTGCTCCTCACAGCCCTTGACTATTTCTCTGTAGACCTGGGGTGGCACTTGCAGAGGCTGGCAAACTTGCTTGTACAGCAGGTCAAATTCTTCAGAAAATGTGTGTTTACGGAGCTGGTAAAATAAGTGAGCTAACTGAAGCAAACAGATCAGGACTAAAAGCATGTTCCAAGTGAAGATGTCCAGTCCGCAGGCATCCAACCAGCCCCAGAGAGCAACGCAGAAGAAACCAACAGTCAGGAAGCCAAAGATGTAGATGGAGCCAATGAGGCCACTTCCTCCCATAAATCCCAAGAGGAGGAAAAAATTTGCAAGGTGATAGGCTGCTCCTTCCATATAGATTTTCCATCCCTCACACAAAACAGGATGGAAAACAATCCGGTCCAAAAGGGTGTCATTTTCACTCATTTTCACTATCTCCTAACCTACACACCTTAAAAATTATATCAAAACACACTGTGGAAGCAGTTGCAAGAATTGGACAGCAGCTATAATGCTACCCAGATTTTTTTAAAGCGTTTTTTTAAAAAAGATCAACTGTTATATTAAGTTGTAATGTAAATAGCAGAGGCAGCAGGCTAAATATTGCTATGCTGAATGCCTCCCAACCAATCGTTTCAGCAAAACTGGTCCTTAATATCAACTTTACAATAAATGTTCCTGCTACGAAGCTCTGTTGCAAAAGCAGCAGAAAGGCGCTTGGCAAAATGCAATTGCAGGGACCTGTGGTTCCCTTCCTCTCCAGCTGTAAGAGAAGTAAAAAATAGACTCAGTTGAAAGAGGAGCAGGGGGGCAAAAGAGGCGGGGAAGAGGCGCTGAGGGTACTTGTGTTTAATTTGGAATGTATAGCACTGGGCCGTGGAAAGAAGAGAGACCCCAAATAGATAACCATGTTTGGAATTGAAACCCAAGAAGCAAAGGCTGTGAGGGGAAGAGAGTTCAGGCAGGCACTCGCCACTTAGCATAACTCAAGAGAACTAGATTACAGAGAGTTATTGTTTGTGCATTTGTAACCGTGGGTTTTCAGTCCCTTCCTCGAGCCTATGAGGTAGCAATCTCTAGTATTTCACATCAAAAAAGGGAGATTGCCTTCACAATGAAGCATAGCCATCCTAGGAGAAACAATCCAAAGTAGCAAAGATGCTTTTAGGAAGTGTTTTTTTATTTTATTTTTAAAGCTATAGAGTACAGCATGCCAGAGAAAGTGCTGACAGCTGGTACATTTAAAATTAGATGGAAGTCCTGGATCACAGTGGGCATGCAACCAATCATAACTGCTGTTGCAAATTATAAAAGACAGAAACAAATGACTGGACTGGGCAACAAAGGGACTTTATTTGACCTGCACACTGAAATATTGTTGCATCATGGTGGCATTTGATGCCTTGCAAAAGGAGACTGGCTGTAGGATCCACACTTGGATTTGTGCAAGAAATGCTTTTTTATCCAATTGGCAAATCATTTTAAAAGAAACATGTTTTCTTCAATATAGCCAGCCTTCTGAATCCACAGATTTTGCATTTGCAAATTCATGGCTTGAAAACATTTTTTAAAATTTCAAAAACCAAACCTTATTTTTCCACTTTTATAAGGGAGACCATTTTCCTTTGTTATTGTATGTAATACAATGACTTGGCCACGGTGGTCCATGCTCTAGTTACATCCCAAATAGATTACTGCAATGCGCTCTACGTAGGGCTGCCTTTGAAGACGGTTTGGAAACTTCAGCTAGTTCAACGGTCGGCAGCCAGACCACTAACTGGGAGCATACCACTCCCCTGTTGTGCCAGCTCCACTGGCTGCCGGTCCACCTCCAAGCCCAATTCAAAATGCTGGTTTTGACCTATAAAGCTCTATACAGTTCTGGCCCAGCTTACTTGTCCGAACGCATCCACCCCTATGTCCTACCTTGAAACCTAAGATCATCCGGGGAGGCCCTGCTCTCGCTCCCGTCAACAGCAAAAATGCGCCTGGTGGGGACGAGAGACAGGGCCTTCTTGGTGGTGGCTCCCGCCTATGGAACACACTCCCAACTGAGGTAAGATCGTCCACCTCCCTCCTCGTTTTTCGAAAGAAACTAAAGGCATGGTTTTGGGACCAGGCTTTTGGAAAATAGATGCAAGCAGCATTTTAAGGGGATGTGACTGGAATGACAATATGGCTGATGAGACTGCTTTACTGTTTTAATTATGGCTTATGTATTGTTGATTATGCTTTTATGTCTAATTGTGGTTTTAATTTTGTAATTTGTTATGTAATAGCTTCGGAATGGGGCCCATTGTAAGCTGTCCTGAGTCTCCCTTCGGAGGTTAAGAAGGACGGGATAGAAATGTGAGAAATAAATAATAGGACTCGAGCAGCCACAGGTTTTGGTGTCCACAAAGGTCCTGGAACCAAACTCCAGCAGATTCCAAGGACCAACTATATTTAGTGTTGGTTTACCCAGAACCTTGTTAAAACTGCATACCAGGCATATTTTTTCTTAAAACATTATTTCAGAAGCAACAGCAGCCATACTTTGAATAGGGTAGTGTGTCTGGTGGGGGATTTCAGATGTGAACAAGCAATGGGATGAATATCACTAAAGGATGAGATAAAATGCATCGACGGACATATTGTACTGTGCTAGTCATTGTGTGGGGATTATATTCATTCCTCAAAGGCACACCGAAACAATCAGGTTTTTAGGTTCTTCCTGAAGGCTGCCAGGGTGGGCGCTTGCCTAATCTCTCCAGGAAGTGAATTCCTAAGCCGAGGGGCCACCACAGAAAAGGCCCTCTCCCTCATCCCCACAAGTTGCGCTTGCGATAAAGGAGGATCGGAGGGGTCATGCAGGTACATAGAAGGAAATACGGTCATAAAGGTAGGCAGGTCCCAAACCGTTCAGGGCTTTGTAGGTGATAACATGCACCTTGAACTGGGCCCAGAAAATGGATGGTAGCCATTGGAGCTCCTTCCCTGTAATTAGCTCCAATTTACAGTCTGGCTGCTGAATGTTTGACAAGTTAAGGTTTCCGGGCTGTCTTCAAGGGCAGCTCCATGTAGAGTGTGTTGTAGAGGTTACTAAGGCATGGACCACCGTGGTCAAATTGGACTTCACGAGGTACATTAGCAGCTGGCGCACAAGTTTTAATTGTGCAAAGGTCCTCCCAGCCACTGCCAACACCTGAGCATCAAGCGTTAGCGCTGAGTCTAGGAGGACCCCCAGACTGCAGACCTGTGTCTTCAGGGAAGTGCAACCCCATCGAGCACAGGTTGCCGCCCTATACCCCAATCCGGCCTGTGACTGACCTAGAGGACCTGTCTTGTCAAAATTAATCTTCAACTTGTTCACCCTCATCTAGACAGTCACAGCAGTCAGACACTGATCCAGTATCCAAGGGGCTTCCTTGGATTTGGGTGGAAAAGAGTTGTAGGTTGGGTATCCAAAACTCCGGATGACCTCACCCACTGGTTTCATGTAGATGTTGAAGAGCATGGGGGACAGAATGCAACCTTGCGGGACCCCACAGATCAAAGGCCAGGTGTCCGAGCAGGTGTCCCCCAGTTTCACCAATTGAGAACGACCCTCCAGGAAGGAACGGAGCCACAGCAGAGCCGTGCTCCCATCACATAGCAGAGAGCTGGCCCAGAAGGATACCATGATTGATGGTATCGAAAGCCGCTGAGATGTCCAAGAGAACCAGCAGGGTCACACTCCCCCTATCCAGTTCCCTGCAGAGGTCATCTACCAAGGCGACCAAAGCTGTCTTGGTATGTATGTGAGTGAATGCTGAGTAGATGTTTCCCCTTTGTCTGTGTAATCAATATACCTATTATAAAACCCAGTACTGGAGTCTGTGTCTATTTCTTTCTCTGAAAGTGTCTGATGTACTCTATCCCATTGAAAACAAATTAAAGAACATTTTTAAGGTTCGAAAAGTATTTATGACAGATCTACACCGTTAGTGCCACTCCTGCCTGTAATATATGGCACAGTAGCTATCTACACCTCAAATTCAAACCAGCACTGCTTGTAGAGGTTTACACGAGCAAGTAATGGATGATTCCTGCAATCCCCCCACTACATCTCATCTGCTGATGCAACTGTAGCCACTGCCACTATCCCAACCTTGCCTAGTGAGACCTGGTGCTCACACTCCGTTTCCAGCTCCATGTCCAGGTCTGGTGGTATAGCTCCTCTCTGACATCTTGTGGTTGGACAACCTGCAGGACTGATCCAGAGCTGCTGCCATTTTGTCACTCGAAAAGAGTTCCAGGCTGCCACCAGAACCACAACTAAAATAGAACCCAATTAGAACACAACACACACAATTGTCCAATAAAACAAGTATCTTTGAATTCAGACTACTTCATTTTTATTTATTGCATTTATAATATCTCATTGTAATGCATACAGAATATATTTTGTGTTTTTGTGCAGAGACAATATTCAACAGAAGCAATATTTGCTGTGCTGAAATGAAAACATGGGAAAATGTTTAGGAGAATATCTCATACTTTTACAACATCTGGATCCAGAAAGAGGATAATAAGGCAACATACTGTTGTGATACAAGAATCCATCATAAATATTTCCAAAAAATTCATATTCTGATACAAAACATTTTAAAAATCTATTTTAGCAGCGACAGACGTAAAGTCCCCAAAAGTTCCACAGCAAACCACCTGAATGGGGGAAAAAAGATCCAGTAAGTAGTAGTTTGTCTATATAACCTATCTGTAAGCCTGCTGTTCTCCTACCACTTACATTGGAGAGCAGCACATATAGGCAACACATGTAGTAACAGGCAATGGTGTAAACTTAGCTATGATTAAGCTTTTATCACTTTCTTTATTATGTACCCAACCAACAATAACCTGGAACTTTGAAGACTTGGTTAGAATCACAGATTTGAGGTTCCTTCTACACGGCCATATAAAATCCAGATTATCACCAAACTGGGAGGGATAGCCAATACTCCAGAGGACAGGAGCAGGATTCAAAACGATCTTGATAGATTAGAGAGATGGGCCAAAACTAACAAAATGAAGTTCAACAGGGACAAATGCAAGATACTCCACTTAGGCAGAAAAAACGAAATGCAAAGATACAGAATGGGGGACAATGCCTGGCTCGAGAGCAGTACGTGTGAAAAAGATCTTGGAATCCTCGTGGACAACAAGTTAAACATGAGCCAACAATGTGATGTGGCGGCAAAAAAAGCCAATGGGATTTTGGCCTGCATCAATAGGAGCATAGTGTCTAGATCTAGGGAAGTAATGCTACCCCTCTATTCCGCTTTGGTTAGACCACACCTGGAATATTGTGTCCAATTCTGGGCACCACAATTGAAGAGAGACATTGACAAGCTGGAATGTGTCCAGAGGAGGGCGACTAAAATGATCAAGGGTCTGGAGAACAAGCCCTATGAGGAGCGGCTTAAGGACTGGGCATGTTTAGCCTGAAGAAGAGAAGGCTGAGAGGAGATATGATAGCCATGTATAAATATGTGAGAGGAAGCCACAGGGAGGAGGGAGCAAGCTTGTTTTCTGCTTCCCTGGAGACTAGGACACAGAACAATGGCTTCAAACTACAAGAAAGGAGATTCCATCTGAACATGAGGAAGAACTTCCTGACTGTGAGAGCCGTTCAGCAGTGGAACTCTCTGCCCGGAGTGTGGTGGAGGCTCCTTCTTTGGAAGCTTTTAAAAAGAGGCTGGATGGCCATCTGTCAGGGGTGATTTGAATTCAATATTCCTGCTTGGCAGGGGGTTGGACTGGATGGCCCAACTCTTCCAACTCTTTCATTCTATGATTCTATCTGTTTTGAACTGGATTATATGGCAGTATAAACACATATAATCCAGTTCAAAGCAGATAATCTGAATTATTTGCTTTGATAATTTAGACTATATGGTAGTGTAGAAGAGGCCTAACTCTCAAAATCTGGATTTAGAAAGTGGGACTATCAACTATTCACTCAACAGGAGCTTCAGCGCCCATATCTTTAACTATGCGTGTGACACAGAAATTATGCAACTAAAACACATCACCTAAATTCCAATCCAAGAAGGTATGTAGCAGATAGATGTCTCATCAATGGTTATATGATTATTTTTAAAAAAATTAAAAGTAATCCCTAA